ATCATCAAATATCTAAGGCGCGGCTTTCCTAAAGTATAACAAGTCCGAGTTACAGAGACCCTCAAAACGAAACTGGAATATCGCGACATTTACGTTTATTTCCACCCTATTGTTACCTAGTGCTTTCTCTAAAAACGTTTTTAGTTCCTATTGTATGTTACAAACACCGCAGTCTATCAAGCTTCAGTGCGCTCGCTGAGATAGTTTGGTAATTAATCATTATGAAAAACAAAAGCAAGATTGACATGGGTACGCTGTCAGACCCACTGGGATGCTGTAACGACAATCCGCACTTTGTCTAAGTTCAGAATAGTCAGCCCTGAATATTGGGTGCTTAAACCCTGGATCGCATTCGGCATTGGGATCACCGTGCAGGATGTCGTAGCCAAGAAGTGCAAAATCCAGGTCAGGAAAGGTATTTTTCCACTTCGTTCCATTACAGTCTTGAAAATCGTTGTAAAAAGTGGCACCTGAAAATTTCATGAAGTGGATTGTGATGCTCTGAGGGAAAGAGGGGGGAAGTAAGAAGAGAAACATTGTGCCATTATGGAAAATATACCTTATCTTCCATACTTTAAAAAGTTTCTTACCGAAATCAAATACCCCAGGGTTACCTCTCTCTCCTTGACTTAATCATAAATATGAAAGACTTGGCTGTCCTGATCTACACATAATCAATTGATTGTCTTACCTGACGACCCTGGCATATTCGAACCCAGAACCCAGAGAATGAATATCGCGGCGACATGTTTCTGGACATCTTTAAGACGGCTTTCCTGCGACGTAAAGTTTACACGCATATAAGCTCTACTGTCATCTCCAATTGAATTTTTGCAGCTACTATATTGACAAATTAATTAGAAATTGCACCATGCTAAGGCCTTGACTATCTCTTCGCTCTAAAGGTTATCATTTTGATAGGTGTTGTATGAAGGGTATTCCAGTTGTTAAAGTACTTAAAGACAACACGAAAACAAAGAAGCTTTGACGCGCGTAGAATAGAAAAACGACTGCATGGAAGCAATTTCAAAAACAGATTCCTTAGGGTGAGGAAAAGTGTGTTATTACTGAGCAAAATACAAAAAAAGAATTGAAGGAGTGAAGTGGATGATAAAACTATACTGACAAAAAAAACCACCGTCGTCAGTTCTTTTCTACAACATGCACACTTAGTAACTGAATTCTCACTTAGCCTACTAATCGTCTTGGCGAATAAAACCATCATGATGTCGAGTAAATTTTGCCTCCTACTTACCTTTTGCTTCATCTTTTGCTTGCCTAACGTGATTGCTTTTCTGAAGACGGAAAGAAAAGTTCAGTTTCTTCAATGATGCAATGGATAATTTTTTTTATCAAATTTCGTCCAATATATAATCCGCTTGTCTTCTTATCAGTGAAAAGTAATGCGTAAACTCTTTTAGTTCTTACTGCACCCAGTTTCTTAACTCAGGCTACTTAAGTCTACTAAGGTTTATGAAGTTCTGTAGGGTTTAAAGCGATTTAAAGCGATATAGCATTTAACAAGTCATACCTTGTGTTTGAAGTTTTCCCTACCGCGTAGAGACTAATTCTAAGCAAATTGCGTGCTGTTTTATTTATTTATCGGAGAGTTGAACAAAGTGTCATGATATCTGCTAGCTCTGTACGTGACCGATGGCCTGTTAGGAGGGATATTCTGTGTTTTAGCTGCATTGGAAAAGAAAGTATATAAATGATACCGCCAGCACATGAAAACCTTGATAAAGACCCTCGTATGTTTTTCATGGGAGTTAACACAACGGTTAAGCTTTATGGCAAAAGACCAGAGAACTGCTGAAATTCTACCATCTGGTCACCTTTCATCTCCCTTCATGGAAAGATCTTTGTAATTACTAGGAATTCTTGGAAAGAGAGGAAGATGTCGGAACAGTGTACGAGAAAGAATTTTCTGACGTAGACGTTAAAGCATTTTCCGTACTCTTTAGCTTATAGGATAAGAAAAAAACGTATATCATTGTTACGAATGCGGAATCAGGAACCTCATTTCAATTGAATCAGCTGGGATAATGCTATAGTTCCTTTTCTCATGTTACGAATACATACTAGAAAAAGTAAAAGTCGATATTTTTAGTCTAGGTAATCAACGAAACATGATCCATGAATTTACGCGGCGGTAAAACTCTTGCCAAACTAATGGACCTCCTGAGCACTGCTACTGGGAAAACAGAATAATACCTCTTACTTGGAAGAATAGTAAAGAGATAAATTACGTTCGACACGTTTGTCCGACAAGTTAATCTTAGCGGAAATCTTATGAAAACCTAATTGTGCGTGAGATATTGAGGACGAGAAGTTGATTTTCATATGTTAGTTCCATCGAGAACAAAGACTGAGGGAAGTTTAGAGCTTGTTCGTGCAGAGAATTTACCGAAAAACGAGAAGCGAAACATGCAAAAAATTTTTCATGGTGTATTCAAATGGTTGAATTGAATGAGTCAGAAACAATGAACGGGTAGTTCTCGAAATGTTGATTCAGGACACAAAGCGTCCACTCTTTGCAACAACCCGCGACTCTAATCTATTTGTCTACTGATTTCTGCAAACATTCAGTTCACCTTTCACCTCTTAAACCTTTTTGCGGATCTGAGAAAAACCTTCTGTGATTGCTAAGGAATTCTCAGAAAAAGAGGAAACTGATTTGACTGCCGCTCTCGCTAACAGCAGTTCCGTCGTCATGAAAGCCGGATACGACTGATCACGTTTATGCAACGTTTTAGTACAACTCGATATCTATTTTCCATTCAATTGTTATGAAAACCTGAAATTATCAACGTGGCAGATAAACAAACGAAGTTTGAATGGTCCAAAGGATATCTCTATCAATTTTCAGAGTTATGCAAATGAGGTATGACACGAGCGCAATTGAGCAAACACATTGATTTGCGTCGTTTTCAAAACGTTGGTGGATGAAAGCTAAAGATGCCCGCGGGTTTAAGGCGATCAATTATGCGTTTTTAGCCCCATTTACGCCTGCATTTTGAGAACTCTTTTTTACGTATTAAGGTCGAAGGGAGGGGTCTCCTCTGATCACGCTGGTATGAAAAAGCTTTCAGTTAAAGTTTCCATATTGTGTCTGTGAACTGACAATCTACATCTTATAACTTGTAGCAAGAGAGAATTAAGTGACCCGTATCATTGCAGTCGCAGCGCGCTCGAGAAACTTTGTGAAATTTACACTTACGATCGCCGTCCACACGGGTGGCCCAGCCAAAAATCGATTTTAGCTCGTGCCGACGCAAAAAAAGAGAATCGGAGAATAACTAAACTATTTTTGAAACGTGTATCCTAAACCCTTCTCGTGGGCAAAACAATAAAAGAGAACTTTTTTCTATGGGAAGTCGAGGGGACCGCCCTCAGCGAAAGCGACTGACTAGCAACATAGTTAAAGCACCAATGCTGAAATCGTCACCCGCCTTTCCGATTGACGTGATAAAGCACTTCCCGTGAAGGATTCGGCAAAAACGCGTATTTTTTTGTTTACATAACAAAGACGGACTGACGTCCATGTTTATTTCTACAAAATGCAGCACATAAACTCTTGAGTTTTAACTTCGCGTTGCTTTAGTGCGCGTATAAACGGATATGTATCGTATCAGAATATATAATTAAATAGATGCATCAAGTGTTCAAACAACTTGGAAAACTCGGCATCGTCGTCTACGCCTCTACGTATCCGTTGCACGATCTGACCTGTGTCAGTCAGTGGGAAAGAAGTTTCCATGGAAGATAAATTTAGATCAAGGGCGAATGATGCTAACTGCATGTAGCAAATCCAATATAAATGTTAAACATCGAACTGCCTAAAAATTTATTTTTCAACTCACTATCGAGTTTAAAGAGCAAATCTATAAAGGAGTGCTCGAATTTGAACGTGGGGTCAAACATGATCACAAGCCCCGGTGTTTCTACAAACTTACTAGACTTGACCCCGGTCTAAAAAATGAAGCATTTGGCTATGTGCTAAAATTTAATGAGCTTCATCTAAGCTCTTGGTGATCTTTGTTAATTTATGTTAGCTGTGTCAAGTATCTTCATCACGGCAGAGGGATATAATTTCCAATATTGTTGCACTGAGATGTTTGCGGAAATAAATTGAAACTCACGGTGCCATCAGCAATCCATCGGGACAACCATCTCGTTAAGGAACCTACGTCTGCTCTATTACATGGCGCGTTTCCCGGATTGTTTTCTCTCCAGAAGGCCGTGCTGCGATATTTCAATGTTCCTTTGTCGCTATAAGTACAGCAGGCAGCAGTCCACATGACTCTAGGCACGTTCACTCGGTAATCGCCGATAGTGTCTTTGTAGTCGCTGAACCCCCTTTTGCCAAAATATCTCCGTTTCGGGGATCCACGTACTGTCGATGGGACAGCACCAACCACGATGAATAACCGAATATTTGTTGCACCTTTCACCTGAGCACAGTTTTGATTTCCCCATGTAATGAGTCGGCTCTCGCAGACTCTCCAAGGGTACGAATTAAACACTCCAAACTGGGGGACAGCGTTGGTGTATGTGAAAGTTGCTCTTTTCTTTGCTTGATTGTTGCGGCCATACTGTGAGGCAATCAAGTGTCCGCGGTGAACTGATGTTTTGACTACTGACCCTCCAGGACAGAGTCGAATCCTGAAACGTTTTCTGCGTCCACTTGCATATAACCAGTCCTCTTCAACTAAGTACTCACTCCTTATTTGTGTTGTGTAGCAACGTTCTCGCTTTAAAGCACGTACGTAATCTACATTTTGTTGTTGAAAATATGGATTGAGTAAGCTGCTTTGTGAAAATTTAATTTTTGGTCGACCCCCGAGGCTCTTTCCGGTCAAATGGGCCCCATTGATCACGGTGGCTGCATAGAGAGGAATCCGGTTATTGCAGTCATACAGAATGCCTACTGCATCACCACCTTCACACAAATACGCCAGGTTTCGTTGTCCTTGTTCGACAAGCCCCAGCTGATCCACACCTGTCGGCAAGTATTGTGCTAAGTTGGGATTCGGGTTTCCCTGTGCATCACAGGCCTCCATAAAGTTGCACTGACAGGCAGCTATTCCGTTAGTACCAGTCGCGCTACACTGTTGGCCTTTCACTTTATGTAAGAAACATCCAGTCACTAAGAGGCAGAGTAACCTCGTGGTTGATTTGTTCATGACTTTGCTGCGGGCCACACAAACTGTATTAGCGCTCTACGACGGTATTTGCTTCCAAGCTGAGACAAAGATTTCTATCGTGGGAACCTCATTCGAGACCCCTGCTAACTTGCGCGAGACACGTTCAAGGAAATCTAAATAAGATAGATCCTTCCGGTTAACTTGGAATTTAGATTGACTTCCCTCCCCGACAGCAAACGACTTTCTAGGAATTAAATGATTTCAAAGTCAACAGGTATGATGAATCTTCTGACAAATTAAGCAAGGCGAATTTTTAGGTATTCATTATCATATGTAAATCGTGGGAGATCGACGTTGGCCAAAATAACACAAAGCGAACATCGCCGTCAAAACAATTCAACGCTGATGCTGAAAACATGAAATTTTAAGGATGTTCCAATTTCCATGACGCAAATGGCAAACAAATGCGATGAGCAGGATGTCATATATATTATTATAGTGTCAAGCCAAATTTATCTGTTGGAAATCACGTCAGTTCGGTGGAGTGTCGACCATTCTAGTCAGAAAAAAAATTTTTTTTTCATGAGGAAATTATTCCTATTACAGCCAGCAAATGAAAATCGCGTCAACTCGATGGCATTTCGATCATTGTTTATTCAGTAATGTAATATAGCTCACCCTAAACAGAAGTTAGGAGGCGAACCGACTAGAATATAGTTTTACCAAATTAACCTTGAAAAGTGAGAGTGCTCCACTATGAACACGAGAAAACATATGATCACAAACTTCTGTGTTTTTCAGTCTTACTGAACTTCATACTTCATGATGCTTTCTTCATCCAACACAAACTTACTGCTGACCATTGTGATAGCTCAAGGACGAAACTTTAATCGAAGGGCTACCGCGATGAATAAATGAAGGTGACTAGAGGTTTGCTAAATGTTTCGTTATCAGCGCTCACTACTTTCTGCTTTTGATTATAAAAATCTGGTTTACTGAGAACAGAGTCCTCTCGATAGGGGCCAACAAATAACAAACCCGACAGTTGGCTTGGTCACAACATTTACACAACCCTTGACAACGAACGAATCTAAATGGTCCACTCATCAAAAATGTGATTCCTCAGTACTGCAATACGCAACCTGTACTACGCATAACATTACCAATAACTCCTTAGCGAAAAGCACATGCGCATTCATATAACGTGAAGGGTTTCTTTTCTCTCAATCCTGGCATTGGATTGGCTAAAGAGGAAAGAAGGTCTTTTCCTCTTAAAGAGCGCGGTGACCAAATTTAAGAGTAAATTGATCCGGAAAGAAAAAAAAGGTACAACTTAAGGCATGTACAAAGGCGTTACTCAAAGATACCGATTGTAACCTTTTGAGTCGATGCTGTTTAATTAACAAATAGATTCCAAGTTGCCGTGCGTCTGTTCAGTAATAGATCACAGAGGACGTCAAAATGTGGTAAGAACAAAAAAGTGGCACACGAGGCGCAGCCGAGTGTGTCACTGATGTTCTTGGAATCTATTTTTTTTATTTTATAAAGAATTAAAATATATGGAAAAAAGCCTTTTTATTTCAAATTTCCCCACTTTGACAGACACGAAAATAGCTTTTGACGTAATCTATTGTCTATACAAAATGAAGCGAACTGATTGGTTGCTATGCTTAGCAAAGAATTGTGATTGGTTCAAAGAATCACGCCACTGTCAAATTTGAATCGAGCGTCGCTTGTCCTGGAAGAGACAATCGCTTTGAAAGCTGAATCAAAACTGCGTAATCATCAAATCTGAAACAAAATGCCGCAAAAAATCAAGTCACTTTTTGTCATCAGAGCGGTTCTGTAAGCCGAAAAACACCTGGACGTTGCCCTGAATATTACAGGAGTTAAAAAAGTCACTCGGAAGCTTGTGGTTGCGGTCGACATCGAAACGTTGGAGGCCATTCGGTTCGAACTTTGCATGAGTGGAGCACTAGACTGAGGAACGGGCTGGCTCGAATTTTGGCAAGGTCAGATGGTACAATAACTGGCTTATGTTGAATATTTTCTTTGCCAGCGCGGCGGTTGATTCTGAGCTTGGCGTCGAGAATTTTGTTACTGTTTTGAAATACTTGGTTTTTTGATATTTTCACTGTAACACCGTTGTTGTTTAGGTGTCGTTGAATGGAATTGCGAAAACCGAGAAGAGCTGAACGACTGTACTCTTCGCCTTTTTTTGTTCTGGCTTCCACGTAAAATCTTGCTAGGTTTTGGTCTAATTCCTTACTGTTCATTTTAAGAAGTGGTGTTGTGATGTTTCTTTCCTGACACCAATCTGTGTAAACAATTATTTTGACATTGAGAAAAGAATATTTTTTTTTTCCAAATAAATCAACCTCAGACAACTTTTGCTTATTGAGTTCGTTAATTTCGAAGCAAAGCAATGGCTTCTTACCTTGAAATAATTTCACTACCCATTTTGGGTTTCTTTTAGTCGCGTTCGACTGCGACTGCTCAAGTAGTTTTGTCAAGTCGTTTTCGACAGAGAAACGTGATTTTCTTACTTTCTCCTGTTTGTTGTAACTGTCCACAGCCTCGACAAGACTTTTTTCGAAATCTTCGTTCACCCAGTCAGCTAAAATATCGTCTAAATTTTCAAAACTTTCCGCCATTTTAGAATAACAGAGAGCAAAAGTTTTAATGATGACGTCATCTATGCGTCTGTCCTCCAATAGATCATAAGTGAGAACCAATCAGAATGCGTGCATAACTGAGCTTATTATATAAAAATTGCTCTACATTCTAGTGATACATTCTTGCATGTGCTCGAGACTTCTTAAGTTCTACTTTAGAAACCCTTGATTTGCCTAACCTTTTTATCGTAATAATCGAAGCAGTGTTTGGTGGAGAACATTCATGTAAAGTTTCAAAGTTTTCGTTCGTCAACTCTTATTCCTAAGGAATCGCCATAACTGACTGGCCACACTTTACAAGCGCTAGATGGGTCCTGCAGCTGATGACATCTCGGCATAACTTTGCAATTAGTTACACCAATCAGGCTTCTACTTTTTCGACGGAGAAGCAGCTATTCATTGTGACCGACACCAGTCGTTTTCATGACTGACTTTATGACTGATTACAACTGACGATCAACTGTAACATGTTATTGAACACTCTAATCTTGCCGAGCAAGTTTTTTGTTTAAAGCGGGATGGTGTTTCGATCACTGTTTATTCAATAATGCAATATAGCTTCCCCTAAACAGAAGTTAAAAAGCGAACTGAAAAGAAATTAGTTTAACCAAATTGACTTTGAGAAAATTTAGACGTAAACGTATGATCACAAGCGTCTATGGTTTGCAGTCTTACTGAACTTCAAACTGGGCTTGAAAGTAAGAAGTACGATACGCAGCTGAAATTCTAAGCGCTCTCCGAGCTCCCGAAAACCTTTTCTTGTGTATAGTTGTTTTCATGACGGCAGTGGCATAGCTACCGAAATATAGTGACAACGAGAAATTCACGGAATTTTATTGAAACTCATGGTCCTGCTGAAGGGTGATGTCTACTATGTTACGAGGCTCGACATTAGGTCAATACAGTTCAGTACACATTGCATTAATTGCGCTCAAAACATACCTCTTGGGCTCTAAGGCCGCCTCAAGTGAGTACACTATAGCAATAAAATGCCATGTTTCTTTTGTTTTTGTCACGCACAGCTATGGTGGTGTTGGGGAACTTAGACGAGAGTAGGTCATTTCACATAGCAGGTCTAACATCAGGATGTGAGAGCTTTAACCATCACTTCACGATACTTTCAACATCCGCCGTACGCTTATTCAATCAAAGGCCTACCACGATAAATAAATGACCTTGACTAGAGCTCTGCTCAATGTTTCGTTATCAGCGCTCACTACTTTTTACTATCGACCACGAAAGGCTGGTTTACTGAGAACAGAGTCCTCTCGATGGGTACCAACAAATAACAAACCCGATGGTTGGCTTAGTCGCAACATCTACACAACCAGTGACAACCAACGAATCTAAATGGTCGATTTATTAAAATGTGATTCCTCAGTATTGCAACACGCAACCAGTACTACGCATAACACTACCCATAACTCCTAGAAAAAAAAACGCACGCATTCAGATAACGTGAATGATTTCTTTTCTCTCAATCCTGCCATTGGATGTGCTATGGAGGAAAGATGGTTTTTTCCTCTTAAAGAGCACAGTGACCTATTCATTTTAGAATTTTGATGTGAAAGTGATGCCCTTTAAGGTGCAAAAATTTAAAAACAAATTAATCCGGAAAGAAAAATAGGTACAACTGAAAGCATGTACCAAGGCGTTACTCAAAGATACAGATAATGACCTTTTGAGTCGATGTTGTTTAAAAATTGCACTATCTTTTCCGAAAGTTATATAATACATTCTTGCATGTGCTTGCTTCCAGTTACCGCAAGATTTGCCTGACCTTTTTATAATATTAATCGAAGCAGTGTTTGGTGGAGAACATTCATGTAAAGTTTCAAAGTTTTCGTTCCTCAACTCTTATTCCTGAGGAATCGCTATAACTGACCGGCCACACCTTACAAGCGCTAGATGGGTCTTACTGCCGAGCGTCTTACTGACAAACTTCAGTGACAAACTTCACTAACAAACTTCACTGACAAACTTTACTGACAAACTTTATTGACAAACTTTAATGATAATCTTTCTTCAAATAAGTGTTGAATATATATTTGTAAAGATCACGTGATCTCACGAGACTTTCACATGACATAAGATCAATAGCAATCTGATGACTCATTTCCTCGGGAAAGTCCCTGTTACATCATTGATTTCCTGTTTTTCTGAGAATGTCACGCAATAGAAAAATGTTGTGAGATCATAGCGCTAGTCTCCTATATTATTAAATGATTCCATCAAATGATTCCATTAAATAATTTCATCAAATGATTTCGTAAAATAATTTTATCAAATGATTTCCATAATATGGAAAGTAGTTAGATAGAGGGTTGGCGTTTTTGTACGCGATCTTTTCGTGATCTCGTACCGCCAACTCCTATACTACTTAAGGTTGAACGCGACGGGAAACAGAAAGTAAATTCGAAATGTTTGCCTCATCACAGAGGAGAATACTAGATCAAACATTCGAATTGGTCTGAAACTTTGCCTGCGAAATAAACAAGTAGAGGGTACGCAATAAAACCAGATGTCTTTGTGGGTGTGTAATGATATTAGATAAGCTTTACTGGTTCACAATTCGCGTTGCTCTAGTGCGCGGATAAACAGATATGTATCGGATATGTATGTATCAGAATATATAATCAAATAGGTTCACCAAGTGTTCAAACAACCTGGAAAACTCGGTATTGTCGTCCACGCCTCTACGTATCTGTTGCACGATCTGACCTGTGTCATTACAGCAGTATTATTTCAGTAGGAAAGAAGTTTATCTCAGAAGCACCAACTTTATTTACTTTGTCACATATCTATTTCCATGGAAGTCAAATTTAGATCAGGGATGAGTGATGCTAACTGCAATTTAGCAAGTCCAGATATAAAAGTTAAACATCGAACTGCCTCAAAATTTATTTCTCATCACACTATCGAGTTTAAAACCAAATATGTAAAGGAGTGCTCCAATGTAAACGTGGGCTCAAGCGTGATCACAAGCCTGATCACAAGCCCGGTGTTTCTACAGACTTACTGGACTTGACCCAGGTCTAAAAAATGAAACATTTAGCTACATGCTGAAATTTAATAAGCTCCATCTAAGCTTTTGGTGACCTTTGTTAATCTATGTTCGCTGTGTCTAGTGTCTTTATCACGGCAGACGGATATAATTTCCAATATTGTTGCACTGAGGTGTTTGCGGAAATAAATTTGTGCCACCGTGAATCCATCCGGACAACCATCTCGTTAAGTCGCCTACGTCTGTCCTTTTACATGGCGCGTTTCCTGGATTGTTTTCTCTCCAGAAGGCCGTGCTGCGATATTGCAATGTTCCGTTAATGCTATAACTACAACAGGCAGCGGTCCACATGCCACTAGGCACGTTCACCCGGTAATTGCTAGTATCTTTGTAGTCACTGAACCCCCTTTTGCCAAAATATCTCCGTTTCGAGGATCCACGTACTGTCGATGGGATAGCACCAACCACGATAAATAACCGAACATCCGTTGCTCCTCTGACCTGAGCACAGTTTTGATTTCCCCATGTAATGAGTCGGCTCTCGCAGACTCTCCAAGGGTACGAATTAAACACTCCAAACTGGGGGACAGCATTGGTGTATTTGAAAGTTGCTCTTTTCTTTGCTTGATTGTTGCGGCCATACTGTGAGGCAATCAAGTGTCCGCGGTGAACTGATGTTTTGACAACTGACCCTCCAGGACAGAGCAGAGTCTCGGAAAGGTTTTTACTCGCTTTTAACCAGTCTTCTTCGACGACGTACTTGCTTCCATTTTGTAAAGATAAATAGCAAAGTTCTCGCTTTGAAGCATCTTTGTAATCTCCATTTCGTTGCTGAAAACTTCGATGGAGTTCTCTGCTAAGTGAAAATTTAATATTTGGTCGACCCCCGAGGCTCTTTCCCGATAGCTGGGTCCCGTTAATCACGGTGGCAGCATAGAGAGGAATTCGGTTATTGCAGTCATACAGAATTCCCACTGCGCCAGCACCTTCACACAAATACGCCAGGTTTTGTTGTCCTCCCTCGACAAGCCCGAGCTGATCCACGCCTGTTGGCAAGTATCGTGTTAAGTTGGGTTTCGGGTTCTCTTGTACATCACAGGCCTCCATAAAGTTGCACTGGCAGTCAGCTATTCCGTAAATACCAGTCGTACTACACGGATGGCCTTTTACTTGGTGCAAGAAAAATCCTGTCATTAAGATGACGAGTAAGGTCATTGTCGATTTGTCCACGGCTTTGCTGGCTACACGAACTGTATTAGCACTTTACGACGATATTTGCTTCCAAGGTGAGTAAAATACTTCTACAGTGGGAACCTCGTTCGAGCCCCCAGCTAACTCGTTCAAGGAAATCTATATGCGATATGATCGTTCCGACTGACTAGGAATTAAGATAGACTTCCCTCCCCGAAAAATGTCGAGTGGTTCTTTTTAGAAGGCGCTGAATAATTTGAGCACGGCAGATTTTTATATATAATAAAGTTCGGATATAACGCGCGCTGTCATTGGTTGAAGGAGCGTGCTCTATGAGAGTTTATATAATTATTAAGCTCAGTTATGCACGCATTCTGATTGGTTCTCTCTCACTTATTATAGAGGACAGGCGTATAGATGACGTCATCATTAAAACTTTTTTTAATTCTTTATTATATAAAACAAATAGATTCCAAGTTGCCGTGCGTCTGTTCAGTAATAGATCACAGAGGATGTCAAAATGTGGTAAAAACATCAGTGACACACTCGGCTGCGCCTCACGTGCCACTTTTTTGTTCTTACCACATTTTGTCGTCATCTGTGGTCTACTACTGAACAGACGCACGGCAATTTGGAATCTATTTGTTAAATAGAGCACAGAGCTGAGCTAAAGCTGTCACGCCATCTGCCAAATTGTACTATGTTTGGTCTTCTCCGGGAATTCTCTCTGCCTTTTTTTTCGTTAATTGAAATTGAAATTTCGGAACAAGCGAGCCGGCAAGTAGCAACAGAAGAACCAAACAAAGGTTTTTAAAAAAGACCAGGCGCCTTAATTTACGTTATTATAACGTGAGCAGAGACGAAAATCCTCAAGGAGAAAACGAAATGGATAGTCCGAGTTTTAGAAGTTTTCACGCTTAGTTAGATGGCAAGCTTACTAAATATGTACGGTAATAAAAATCAAACACAGCTAACACTCGTATAATAAGTAAAGTTTCGTGATCAAAAACAAAACAGTACAAAACAGGAATGATGAAAAATATAACCAAACTGGCATAACTGTTAAAATTCATACTAATGATGCCGGTGTCAGAGCGACTGCGATCACGCTGAGGTCCATCGCGGTTAGCTCATTATGGCGATCTTCGGTCATCGCAGTGAAGCAAGCCTCAGGAACTACATCAGCCGCCCTTCGATTGAAAAAATAAGAGCTTGCTCTGATATTCGTTCCGATGCGGAAGGCCACATCAGTCACTGCAGCCGAGTGTCACGGCGCTGTCATCCCGAGCGATCTTTATGTTCCGGTGAATTCGGCTGTCGTTCATTCACAAAACACTCGCCTTGAAATGTTTGTTTTCCACTTGTCATGTGAAAGAACTTGCGTGTTTTTATGAGCCACAATTTGGCCGTGTTTCATTGAACATTTCACTTTCAGATTCTGTATTAGAGACTAAAAGACTTCATGCAGAAGTGTTAAATTATTCAAGTTTTTTGCTGCTGCAAAATGTGAACTTTGATGGTTTGACATTTTTGACAGCTTTAGTCTTGTACAGCCAATCAGATTCTAACAGGGATTCTGATTGGCTTATTGTAGCGCGCTTTGTGAGAGTATAGAGCAACTAGATCCAGTAGCAACACAAATGAAACTCTATTTGTTCCCAAAAAATGTCTTATCAGGTCTTTTTTCATCCACACAGTGAGAATATGGAACGCTCTAGCAGATGACATTGGTCTTTCTGTAACTATCTCTTTCAGTTCATTCAAGGTACACCTACTCAGTTACTATAAGCAATCACTCTGTAAATCATATGACCCTGAAGATCCTCCCTCATTTAAGTCTATCTGCACAAGTTGCAACAAAGCTCGTAATCTGACGAGAAAGATTGATTGTTGGTACTAACCACTCCTTAATTTTTATTGCAATTTTTATTTCAATTTTATGTGTTCCGGGCCCGCAGTAATTGGCGTAAGCTGTTGCGGAGTCCCTGCCTGTATTGTACCATTTTACTTTTTTTGTTTTTTTTTATGTATATTTAATATTAACTCGGCGAAGCTAATAAAATAAGATAGAGTCGTTTTCTTGACTGATCTTATGACCGATTACAACTGACGATCAACTGTAACTTGCTATTGAACACTCTCATCTTACCAAGCAATTTTTTTGTTTAAAGTCGGATGATTAGTCGACCCCTGGAGCTCTCCACCGATAATTGGGCTCCATTTATCGCCGTGGTCTCATAAAGTGGAATTCTGTAATTGCAGGTATTAAGATTGCCCTCTGCACTACCTTCCCACAAATGCTTGAAGTGTCGCCCTCGGATTTCGACAAGTTCGAACTGATCCAAAACTTTAGGCAAGTATTGAGCCCTGTTGTATTAGACCTCGGATTTCCTCGTGCGTTTATCACGTGGCAAAACAATCTCTTTGGCGTGGTCTTTTTTTAAGACACTCGCTAACTCGCTCGGAACACATGTTTGCAAACTAGAAATTTAGGATTGACTTTTTTCCCCGAAAAACTCGCTTGATATTCTTTACATCACCAGAATGGTGAAATTGTGTTCCAATATCCATGCCAAAATATAAAGATGTTTCAGGGCAAATTGTGGAGTATTGCGCAATTAATACCACTGGATGGGGAATTAGACAAATGTTCGGTCAAAGCAGAACAATGCTATCATTCCCATTATCAGACTGCCGAAAATCATAAGGCTTATGCCTGAAGCATAGCTCGAATTTTTGCTGAGTATGTGACGCTGACCTCTAAGAACCCTTACCCCACTAAAGTCTATTCTTTGGCCAATTAAAGACGCTATATTCGTCACTTTTGCGGTAACAACTTCTAACAGCGAATATTCCCATTCTTAAATTTCCACTTACCAGAATTTTCAAACCACCAAAATCCCGAAAATGTGCGACCCCATCAAAGTCAATCCAATCGTGAAATGCCACCCCATCCAGGGGCAAGTCTCCATTGCTCATCTCAGTAGTAAAAAGTAACCCCCCCCCCCCGAAAGTTTAATGGACATAACGTGATACGCATCTACCGCAGATCCTTTAGGACGAAGATGTCGACGAGATGTCTATGCTTGCCGAATTATCACACGCTGCGTTTCACAGATTGATTTTCCTTGAGGATAGCTGTAAAGTGATATCTCAATGATCTTTTTTACTTAAACTTAAACTTAAACATACAACAGGCAACCGTCAGTCTCTTTTCTCTTGTGCTGGAAAGACACGAAAGAGAGCCGGCAGGGGATGTGCTGATTGCATAATGAAGGGCTCTTTGTTCCAAAATAAAGCCTATATTGAGTCACAATGTTATCATTTAAATCAAATATCTAACTTTGCATTAGCAAATCCATGTGACAATGTCTCATGTTGAATTTTGAAAATCATCAAAAACGCGATCGAAAGGTATTTGGGTTTTCTGCAAAAAGTGGTCAGTGTGCCGCTGTTAGCCTCATCATATAGTTCCGGGAAGGCATTTTATATATACATCTAAATCGAACTGAAACCATACTCATGTTCTTTTGATAACCCACCTCGAAGGCTCATCAAATTCCTACCAGCAAACCGCCGCTCCCATTTATTGCACGCAGTGCTTGTTGAATTTACTAAATTATCCTTGACTGTGGTGATACGAGCTGGAAGGAGTCCTTGCTAATAACCAGACAAAATTTCACCTTTGGCACAATACCCTACTTAAAAAATAGATTCACAGCAAAAATGAACAATAAGACATTACCAACAAAGGTCATCTTGTGTACTTTTTATTCAGAAGAAACCCGGCTTGGACACCATCGAGCACTGAATGTTGGAAATTTCATCTAAGTAATTACAATTAAGGTTTCTCGAATTCCCATAATAGCTTTATAAATTTTTTGCTGTTAGCTGTCTCAATCAAGCCAAACAAGATCCTCCTCTTCCCTACTGTTGACAATGGCGACAACCCTGAAAATTCTCCATATTTTCATAAAACAATAAAAAAAGTTGTAGGTAAGTTCAAAGACGAGGCTCCTAGTATAGCAATTACTCAGTTCATCGGCTGAAAATCAAAAATGTGCTCGTATATTAAAGATGATGATAAAGGTGGTAAAACAGCAAAAGGAATAAATTCGAAAATCTCGAAAATGTGTGACCCCATTATAGTCAATCCAATCGTGAAAATGCCACTCCATCCAGGGCCATGTCTCCATTGCTCATCTCAGTAGTAGGAAGTACCCCCTCCCAGAAAGTCTAGAGGACATAACGTGTTACGTATCCTACCGCAGATCCTTTAGGACGAAAATGTCGACGAGGTGTCTATGCTTGCCGAGTTATCACACGCTGCGTTTCACAGATTGATTTTCCTTGAGGACAGCGGTAAAGTGATATTTCAATGATTTTTTTGTTTAAACTTACAACAGGCAACCATCTGCTTATGCTGATTGCATAACAAAGAGCTCTTTGTTCTAAAATCAAGCCTATATTGGGTCAAAATGTTATCATTTGAAGAGATATATATCTAACCTATTCTTAAACGATGTAAAATTATGTATCTATATCTAACTTTGTATAAGCAAATTTATGTGATTTCTGCAAAAAGTGGTCGGTGTGCCGCTGTTAGCCTGATCACATAGTTCTCGAAGGCATTTCATGAATACATCTAAATCGAACTGAAACCATACTCGTGTTCTTCTGATAACCGACTTCGAAGGCTCATCAAATTCCTACCAGCAAGCCAGCGCTCCCATAGCATGCAGTGCTTGTTGAATTTACTATATCATCCGTGACTGCGGTGATACGAGCTGGAAGGAGTCCCTGCTAATAACTAGACAAAATGTCACCTTTAGCACAATTCTCTACTTGAAAGAACAGATTTACAACAAAAATGAACAATGAGACATTACCAACAAAGGTAATCTTGTGTCTTTCTATTCAGAAAAAAACCGGTATGGACATCATCGAGCACTGAATGTTGGAAAGTAATTACAATTAAGGTTTTCCGAATTCCCGCAATAGCTTTAGAAATTTTCGCTGCTAGCTGTCTCAACCAAGCCCAACAAGATCCTCCTCTTCCCTACTGTTGACGATGGCGACTATCCTGGAAATTCTCCATATTTTCTTAAAACAAACAAAAAAGTTATATGTAAGTTCAAAGACGAGGCTTCTAGTATAGCAATTACTCAATTCATCGGCTGAAAATAAAAAATGATGATGAAGGTGGTAAAACAGTAAAAGGATTAAAGAAAAATTTTGTAAAAAAAAACATCAAACATGAAGACTACAAAAACGTATTATTAAATAACAAACAACTACATCATGAAATGAATACTATCCCAAGCATCAATCATCAACTCGGAAGCTATGAGCTTAATAAAGTGTCATTATCGTTACTGACAAACTTTACTGACAAACTTTACTGACAAACTTTACTGACAAACTTTACTGACAAACTTTACTGACAAACTTTACTGACAAACTTTACTGACAAACTTTACTGACAAACTTTACTGACAAACTTTACTGACAAACTTTACTGACAAACTTTACTGACAAACTTTACTGACAAACTTTACTGACAATCTTTACTGACAAACTTTACTGACAAACTTTACTGACAAACTTTGCTGACAAACTTTATTAACAAACTTTACTGGTAATCTTTTTGCAAAAATCAGCTTTGAATATATATTTGTAAAGATCACATGATCTCACGAGACTTTCACATGACCTAAGATTAAAACAATCTGATGACTCATTTCCTCGGGAAAGTCCCTGTTACATCATTGATTTCCTGTTTTTCTGAGAATGTCACGAAACGGAAAATGATGTGAGGTCATAGCGCTAGTCTCCTACAGTATTTCAACCCTTTGATATTATTAAATGATTCCATCAGCTACGTGCTGAAATTAAATGAGCTCTCTCTATACTTTTGGTGACCTTTGTTAATCTATGTTCGCTGTGTTAAGTGTATTTATTACGGCAGAGGGATGTAATTTCTATTATTGTTGCACCGAGGTGTTTGCGGAAATAAATCGATGCCACCGTAAATCAACCCGGACAACATTCTCGTTAATTCGCCTACGTTTGTCCTTCTACATGGCGCGTTTCCTGGATTGTTTTCTCTCCAGAAGGCCGTGCTTCGATATTGCAATATTCCGTTAACGCTATAAGTACAGCAGGCAGCAGTCCATATGTCGCTAGGCACGTTCACCCTGTAATTGCTAGCATCCTTATAGTCGCTGAACCCCCTTTTGCCAAAATATCTCTGTTGCGGAGGTCCACGTTCTGTCGATGGGATAGTACCAACCACGATAAATAACCGAACATTCGTTGCTCCTCTTACCTGAGCACAGTTTTGTCTTCCCCATGTAATGAGTCGGCCCTCACAGGTTCTCCAAGGGTGCGAATTAAACTTTCCAAACTGGGGGACAGCATTGGTGTACGTGAAAGTTGCTCTCATTTTTGCTCGATTGTTGCGGCCATACTGTGAGGCAATCAAGTGTCCGCGGTGGACTGATGTTTCGACTACTGGCCCTCCAGGACAGAGCTGAGTCCTGAAAAGGCTTCCTCTTGCTCTTAACCAGTTCTCTTCAACGACGTACCTACGCCCTCTTTGAGAAGATAAATAGCAAAGTTCTCGCCGTAAAGCATCTCTGTAATCTTCTTCTTGTTGCTGAAAACGTCCATCGAGTTGTTCGCTAAGTGAAAAAGCAATTCCTGGTCGACGCCAGTGGCTCCTTCCTAATAACAGGGCCCCATTAATCACGGTGGCCGCATAGAGAGGAATTCGATTATTGCAGTCGTACAGAATGCCTACTGCACCAGCACCTTCACACAAATACGCCACGTTTCGTTGTCCATGCTCGACAAGCCCGAGCTGATCCACACCTGTTGGCAAGTATTGTACTAAGTTGGGATTCGGGTTTCCCAGTGCATCACAGGCCTCCATAAAGTTGCACTGACAGACAGCTATTCCGTTAGTACCGGTCGTGCTACACTGTTGGCCTTTCACTTTATGCAAGAAACATCCAGTCATTAAGAGACAGAGTAACCTCGTGGCCGATTTGTTCATGGCTTTGCTGGCTACACGAACTGTATCGGTGCTTTACGGCAGTACTTGCTTCCAAGCTAAGAAAAATATATCTATTATATTGTGGCAACCTCATTCGAGACCCCTGCTAACTTGTGCGAGACACGTTCAAGGAAATCTAAATGATATAGATCCTTCCGGTTAACTTGGAATTTAGATTGACTTCCCTCCCCGGCAGCAAATTACTTTCTGGGAATTACATGATTTCAAGGTCAACAGGCATGATGAAATCTTCTGATATTCGTGCCAAAATAAGCAAGACCAATTTTGGGGTATTCAGCACTATATGTAAATCGTGGGAGACTGACGTTGGCCAAACACAAAGCGAACATCGCCGTCAAAACAATTCAACGCTGATGATGAAAGCATGAAATTTTCAGGATGTTCCCATTGCTATGACACAAACGGCAAACAAATGCGATGAGCAGGAAGTCATGTGCCTGACTCATAATCATAGTGTCAAGCCAAATTCATTCGTTTTAAAAGCTAGCCAGCGGGTGGGAATCACGTCATTTCGATGGATTGTCGACCATAGTAGTTAGAAAAATAGAAAAAAATTTCAAAAGGAACTTATTCATATTGCAGCCGGGCAGAAAATAAAAATCGCTTCAGCTCGATGGCATTTTGATTACCGTTTATTCAGGAATAAAATAGAGCTTACCCTAAACAGGGGTTAAAAAGCGAACCGACAAGAAAATGTTTTTACCAAATTGACTTTGAAAAGTTAGAGTGCTCCACCGTGAACATGATCACAAGCTTCTGTGTTTTTCAGTCTTACTGAACTTTATACTTCATGATCAGGGCTTTCTACATCCGGCGTACGCTTACAGCTGACCATTGTGATAGCACAAGAACAAAATTTTAATCAAAGAGCTACTGCGATGGATAAATGACCTTGACTAGAGCTCTGCTCAATGTTTCGTTATCAGCACTCACTACTTTCCGCTATTGAACATAAAAAAGTTTGCAAAAGTGACAACCAACGAATCTTAATGGTCGATTTATTGAACTTATAAAAATGTGATTCCTCAGTATTGCAATATGCAACCTGTACTACGCATGACACTACCCATAACTCTTAAGGAAAGCACACGTGCATTCATATAACGTGAATGATTATATTTCTGTTCTCTCAATCCTAGAATTGGATCGGCTAAAGAGAAAAGATGGTCTTTACCTCTTAAAGAGCACAGTGACCAATTCATTTTAGAGTTTTGATGTGAAAATGATGCCCCTTAAGGTGCAAAAATTTCAAAACAAATTGATCCGGAAGGAAAAAAGGTACAACTCAAGGCATGCACAAAGGCGTTACTCAGAGATATAGTTTGTGACCTTTTGAGTCGATGTTGTTTAGAATTTGCATTATCTTTTCCAAAAGTTGTATGATACATTCTTACATGTGCTCGAGACTACTTAAGTTCTACTTTTAAAACCCTTGCTTTCAGTTACCGCACGATTTGCCTAAACATTTTATTGTATTAATCGAAGCAGTGTTTGGTGGAGAACATTTATGTAAAGTTTCAAAGTTTTCGTTCGTCAACTCTTATTTCTAAGAGGTCGCCATAACTGAGTGGCCACACTTCACAAGCGCTAGATGGGTCTTACAGCCGATGATATCTCGGCATAACTTTGCAATTAGTTGCAACAATTAGTTTGAAGGAGAAGCAGCTATTCACTGTGACCGACACCAGTCGTTTTTATGACTGACCTTATGACCGATTACAATTGAAGATCAACTGTAACTTGTTATTGAACAATCTAGTCTTACCGAGCAAGTTTTTTTGTCCCCAAGCTTTTTGTCCCCTTCGACCCCTGGAGCTCTCCACTGATATTTGGGCTCCATTTGTCGCCGTGGTCTCCTAAAGAGGAATTCGATAATGCCCACTACGCCGCCTTCCACAGTGCTTAAGGTGTCGCCCTCGCGGCTCTCGACAAGTTAGACTTAGGATTTCACAGGCGTTTATCAACTGGCACAACAACCTCTTTAGCGTGGTCTTTTTTTGAGACACCAGCTAACTCGTTCGAAACATGTGTTTGCAAGCTAGGAATTTAGGATTGACTTATTTTTCCGACAACCTTGCTTTATATTCTTTACATCAGCCGGAATGGTGAAATTTTCCAATATTTTTCTAAAACATAAAGATGCTTCAGGGCAAATTGTGGAGTATTGTGTAATTGGTACCATGTTGATGTTATGATGTTTTCTCGTGTTTGTCGTCAATTCCGAACGCTGTGTTTTTATTTCAACGATGTTCCTTCGCTTTACAGGTTGTGTAATCCAGCATAGCAAGAGATTGTAATCTCTTGAGCGTAGTCAGTCATGGAATAAACTCAATAATATCATTCCACAGTGCGCGCGCTTTTTTTCCTCTGCCAAATTTAAGTCAATTACGGTAAAACCGTGTATTTTTATTCAGAAAAAACCCGATAGGGATACCATCGAGCACTGAATGTTGGAAATTTCATTAAAATAATTACAGTTAAGGTTTTCCGTATTGCCGTAATAGCTTTATAAATATTTTTGCCGCAAGCTGTCTCGACCAAGCCCGACAAGACGCTCCTGTTCGCTAGATAGACTTCATTACAAATTGTACTGCAAAATATGTAAGGGCTGGTTATTTAAGCAAAGTTAAATCGTTGTTAAACAAAATCGCGTTCTATGCCATCTTCAATTTAGCCGAACTGTTTATCTGAAATTTTATTTTTGTGGACAGTGTCATGAGGGCCAAAAGCGAATAGTGGAAGGGCATTTATTTCATAAAATCATCCCTCTTATAGAGAATCCCTGGGTCCAGTGCTCGCATAAAATCGCGGTTTGGGTTAGACTTCGTGTAAATAACCAGCCCTGCATGTGTGTAGGATTATCCTCTCCCAATTATTTTCAAACGAGCGTTTGCGCAGAAAAAAAGCTTCAATATCAATCCTGCAAATGAAAGAATTACTGTTCTCCCTGTTTAACATATGGTTACTTTCAAACTACCTAAGGCATCAATTTCTTGCTGAGTACGTCAAGCGGAGTTGAGAGCAGAAAAAAGCATCCGTGCTTTTTCATGCGGACAGGATCATTCACAAATCCACCTCCAAATGTCTATCCATTGACATTTGTTTGTTGACCCAGTCAGTGACCGCCAGTTACGCAGAACCTATATGTGCGCTGTCCAGATATCTGAACCACTTACTTTGCTATAGACACCTACCACGATCAAACGGATTCCCAGAAGTTGTGCAGATCTTAGCAAAGCTTGAAGGAACCACGATAGCGAGGTATGTTACATCTAAAAGATTAGGTGCATGAACGAATCTCAAACACGACAAAAAAGACTTTAAATAAATGAGTTCAATTCAAGAGAATGAAAACATCGTTAGAGTGCCAGTTTACTCGAAACGAAAAGGAAAGTTCTTCAGATGCGGAATGATGAACACGTTGGCGCTCAAGTTGAGATAAGCTTTTCTGTAATAAAAAAATCCAAGAACTTCACTCAATTTTAGCTTTGAATGCAAAAGAATTTGGTATGGGGGTGAGTATAGCAGGATTATAAATCGCTTCATTCAGTTGTTTCCGCTTTTTTAGGTGTACAATTTAGTGTTCCAATTACGTTTTCGGATGAGTGCCCTCCAAATCAGCTTTAGTGAAAATTTTCTTCAATTTTTGTGTTCAAATTCGTCCTCCCTCTTCAGGAAACGGCCATTGTTGTAACCAAAGACATGGAGTTTCACATGGTAAGAATTAAGCAAACTCCACTCATTTATAACGAGTATTTCATCTAACGGAAATTGTAACGTTCGAGCTTCCGAGTACTGTAGGCGATTAACTGAAGGAAACTTGCTATACTTTTTCTTTCGTTGAACATTTAATTTTATCACTCAGGGTATTTCCACAATTTGTGATGGTGTGGCTAATGAAGTTTCGACGGTCGTTATTTCGCTATAAGGCCGAAGACTATTGAAAAGCTCAAAGGAAGTCACCACTAGTGTTTTCCCCCAAGATCACTATGCAAGCTGTGAAATTATCGTCTGGACTTGTGTTATGTATTAGAGCCTTGACTTAAAGCCTTTCTTTCGAAGATCTAACACTTTCGTTCCACATTATGTCTGCGGCATATTACATAGGTTGGCGAAACGTTCAAACATTTGTGCGTGAAGCCTAATGTTAGATGAAGGCGGTAAAAGGTGATCTAGAGAGACGTGGCTAAACGGTGAAACATTCTTGTGAGATATGATTATGGACAAAAATGTTTGAGCGTTTTTCCGGGACCTGAAAAGACTGTTATGAGAAGCAGCTGCGCCCCTCCCCCCCTTTCTATTTGGGAGTTTGAGGCATAATCGTTTAGCTTGTCATGTGTATATTTGAATACACAGGAACGCATAATGAAGCATGATCTGCTCTTTCCGGCATTTGTGAGTACAGTGTTAATGTTTTTGGTGCTTCCTAATGCGGCGGGTACAACCTTAAGGTAAGTTTCTTGAAGATTTCTTACTTTGTTTATCAAAATAACGTCTGATTCGACATTCTAAAAATACTGGTATAGAAATATGAAATGTCAAAGACGAGAAAATGGCTTTTTGGCCGAAACTGCTTGCATTTTACGCATTTATGGGACTGAAGAATTTTCGGCGTTGATATCTGTAAAGACTGTAAATTGTGTTATGTGAACGGATCAAGAAATAAATACTGTGTTTGTTTTGTTATTCCACATTCAGCAAGGCAGATCAGCCAGGAGTTTCTTTTCAAGACTGTAATGGAACTGACTGGAAGAAAACTTATCCTAACCTGGATTTTGTACTTCTTGGTTACGATATCCTGCAAGGCAATCCCATTGCCAAATACGACCCTGGCTTTACCCATCCAATATTCAGAGCCGACTACTCAGAGCAACGACAAAGTGCGGACTGTCGTTACAGGTTCCCAGCAGGTTTCACAGTTTACCCCAGCCAGTTTTGCTCGATGTCATTTGCGTCTAGACTAGTTCAGAATAAGAAAG